TTTGGTGCTGCGCAACTAGAAGATGACTAGTCTTCCAGTTGGAGTGCTTATCCACCATCATGTGGTAGAAGCAAAGTGACCGCCAATATGAGGTTGGTTTCTCAAACATTACAGAGGAACTCAAAGAAGGGATCAGTCTGTGATACAGCCAATCATCCGCTCCATCCTTTGATATCTCGCACTCATACCATCCCATCGAGGAGATAACCTAGTCTGATAGGCTCACCAAGTACTGCAAAGTGCTCCTGGTATGGCTGACACGGCTTTCCCGAGCCAGACCCGCACGAAAATTTGTGGTGCATGAGGACCTTTAGTCTCGCAGTGCACAACATCCAACAGCTCCCTGTATCTCGACAATCTCTGGTCACTCCCGACCTCAGTTTCTTCTAGCAACCTCTCTCCACCCGCGAGATGTTCTCTTCGCACCTGGTTGCCGCAGTGGCGGTGTCATTCTTCGCTTGCTCTGCAGTAGCACACCCCGCCACCGCCAGAGCAGAGAATGTCCCCGTGAACGTCACCGTCCACTCCGTCGAACCGCCTCAACACACGCTCCAGGAGCGATATTTCAAGTCCAAGTCCTGGGACCCGCCATACGTCGGCCACCCACCACCCTGGCCGTCTCAGGAGGACGCAGCGTTCCCGATTCCAAAATTCAACCGCAGCTGCTTCACCGACGCCCGGGTCGCGCTGTGGAAGTGGCGGTACCTCTGCGACCGGGCCAACGACGAGTCCCTCAAGACGACGAACCCGCGCACCCGGATCCAGTTCTGCTTCAACCCGCCGCCCTCGGCCGAACTGTGCTGCGACGCCGACGGCAACGCCCAACGCGGGCAGACTTGCCTCACGTCCCCGCTGTGGCCGCAGACGGACCAGGAAGCCGCCTGGTGCGGCACCTGCCGCCTGTACGAAGGCCCCTGCGTCTTCGGCGAGTACCCGGAGATTAACAACCCGGAGAACGTGTGCAAGTGCCAGTTCGACAAGTGCTACCTCCCCGACGACTTCAACCCGGATCACATCAACCCGGAGACGGACCGCAGCGGGTACCCGGGCCTGAAGAAGGCCACGTACGTCCGCGACGTCAAGGTCTGGTACTCTTACTTTTCGGTCCCCAAGGACGGAATCACCGACGAGGATCTGGAGCAGAGTGATTGGTTGTGACTGTGGTTTCGACGTGGCAGGCGAGGAGTAGATCGAGGAATAGTCCTCATTAGGTTAGGGGGGGCTAGGTCAAGGTTATGTGTTGCGCGGTGGTGTGTGCGCGGGATATGAGGATATAACATTCATCCTCTAACCGTTGTGGCAGAATGTTGGAGGCAGAAGGCGGACTGCGGGCGACGCAGATTACAGTGGGAGGAGTGGAGGCAGCGCAAGACAATAATACACAACATATCCAACCTTGTAGGGCCATCTCGAACGCAGAACACACGAATATCCGGTACAGTAACTTATCGTTAGGGAATTACAAAAAACAAAAAGGATGAAATGGTTTGGTGAACGGTGTGTAAAGGGGTTTGGTATTGGGAGCTGGATCGAAGCAAGTCTAAAGAGGCCGCGGGGCTGAGCATAAAACTCCATGGGTTGCCCACCAGTCACACATCATCGATCTCAACCTCATCCTCGATATTGACGAGATTGTATGTCTCCTTCATGAATGGCCATTCACGCCGTTCACCTCGGCACTTCGTTCCTTCAACTCGCGATACTCCTCTTGTGCTTCTCTCTCCCTCCTCATCACAAAGTTTACTTCATCCCTCAGCCTCTCCAACCTCCGTGCCAAAGCACCTTCTTCCCCGATCTGCAAAGTCCTGAATGCGTCCAGCTGTGCCCTCTGCTCCTCAATTTGTTCATAGACCGTAGAAATCTTCTGCTTCAGGGTCTTTTGCCGTGCTTGATACCCTCCCAGGTGCAACGACAACTTCTTCTCGAGTTTATTGCCTGCTTCTGCGGCAGAGAGAAGATTCTGTTGTGCGGATTTGAAAGCAGCCAAATACTCTTCTGTGGTTGTGTTCGCGGTGAACTTGAGCGGTAACGCGTTTCTTTCTCTCTCCGAGCTGACAAGGCCCTCTACTGCGGCGACGTAGGCTTGACGGTCTGTTTCGTTGCACGTGGCCTTCAATTGCTGACGAGCCTTCTCCAGCAGGTCATCGGGCAGCGATCTCAACTGGGGAGGTTTGCCAATTACCTTGGAGCCAGGAAGAGGGAACTTGCTTGCGTCATTTGCCATGAGAAGAGCCGCCTCTTGTGCGATCATTGCTCGGATCGGATCAGTTATGGACGTCGCTTCTGAGGCTAATGCGTTGTAGTTGATGGTGGTCGGTCGAGGTAGAGCTCGTTGGTAGACTTGAGTTTGTCGTCTAAACTCTGCTGCTGCTGCTGCTTCCCGGGCTTGTCGCTCGCGCCTGTCGATTTCATCTTGATCTTCTCTGTCCAAAGTGACACTGCCTGAAGTCTCTTCTTGTTCCGATGGCAATACTTCCAGTTCCCATTCTGTCTCCTTGGGTTTTGGTAGGGACGAGAGCTTCGCTCTAAGCGACTGTCTTGCGGCGTTCTCAGCTAACCGCATGTCCCGTGGCGTTTGAGCAACAAGCTGTCTTTCGCCTCTTTCATTGATTGTCAGATTGTCGCGGGGTGTGCGCAGAGGAGTGGCACCAGGAAACTGTCCTGCACCTTCAGCTTGGCGCAAGGGTGTCGCCATCGGATTGGGAGTGACCATCTGCTGTCTTCGAGGCGCAACTCCATCAAAGCCTGTCGAGCTACTACCCTCATGCAGAGGTGTATTCTCTCCACCCAACAGAGATGACTGTGTTTCTGTGAGTGCTCTGATATTTCTGATCTCATTTGCGATATGGTCTTCTTCTGCGGGGGCTCGAGGAGTTCGAATTGGTGTAGCCCCGACCATATTCGTATAGTTGGAGACAAGCCCGCGTGCGTCTCCGTCCTCCTGCCCAGCTGCTTTCACTGCCTTATCCCCTGCCATCCCCATCTTGACGATCTCTTCCAGCTCGCTTTCACTAACCTGAGGGGCGGGCAGGTTCAAGGCCCGTCGCTTACTTTGTTGCTCGGCCTCTCGTAGTCGTTGCATTTGTCCTGCTCTTGCAGCGGCAGCAGCCGTGGCGGATGTTGATTTGTCCTTGTCTTGTTTTTGTCGTTTGGGATCGAGGTTATCTTCGGGATCTCCCTGTCTCTTTCGTGCCAGTTGCTGCTTGCGGGGGTCGAACAGTTCCCGCTCGCGCTCATTCTTAGCCATCTCCTCTTGCGTGTCGTAAAAGCCAGGCGCAGCCTGCTTTTCGAATGGGATATCTGCATTGTAGTCCATCTGGCCTTTCTTGCGGGTGGTTATTTTGATATTGATGCCCGCATTTTTGAGCTCCCGTCGCTTCTGCAGAACAGCAAGCCTCCGTGACTCCTCTAGTTGGCGTTCGCGTGCTTTGCGCTTGGCTTTCTTGCCTTGTGTGTTCGCTAGACGTGCCCGGGCCTCGCTGAGCATTTCCTTCTCATCCTCGTCCAGATCAATGGTGTCCGGGCGCGCAGGTTTTGATTCCGGGTCAGGGTCAAGTTCACCAGGGCGCAGTCTTCGAACCTGGTCACCCGTTGGCGCTGCAGTTTCTCCGCCCTCTGGTCCTCCGAGGCCTAATTCATCGTTCTCGCGAGCTTCTGCTTCGTCGAGGAGCTTCTGGTAGCGCTCCAGGCACTGCGTGGCCGTTCTTCCGACGATGGGCGCAATCGTCCGCCATTGTGTGGGCATCAACTTTGCCAGGTGTAGCAACTTCTCATCCTCCTCTTTGGACCACTCGATCTTGCGAATGCCCGGGTCGAGCCATTCTGTCCATCTCGCCTTGCACTGTTTCGGAGTCTTTCGTGCGAGCAACGACGAAACTCGAGCCCACTGGTTCAGGCCATATTTGGAGACGGAAGCTTTGAGGATTTCATCTTCAATGTTTGTCCAGACACCTCCTTTGACGACCGGCATCTTGCCGTTGGGTGAGCCGTCGCAGCGTTGGACGACGGTGCAAGAACAGGCGCAGATCGGATTTTGTAGATTGTCGACCTTTTGGTGAGGCGACTTTGAAGGGACTTTGGAAGTTCTAAGTTGGTTTAGTGGAGTCGAAGCTCGGAGCGGAAAATCTTGGCGCCGAGTTTCATCGCTGCAGTCTGGAGATGGCAGCCTCATCTCCTCAGTCCCTTAGAACTACTATGTACCGAGTACCTAGTACTTTGCTACTGTACCTGCGCCACCAATCGCATGTGATGGCGCAAGGTGCGCTTAACCAAAACATGTACTCTGACTTGCCATTTGCCACCCGCGACATTACACGAGGAAGTTAGGCTGGGAAACCCAGTCGCCTTTGATTGCTGGACTCTTTGCAAGACTCGACTTGCCTTTGGCATGCTTGGTATGTGGGTACGTGATTTTGAGTCTATTGACGGTAAATGCCCAAGGTCGGTGCTTATTGAGGCTTTGGATTCTCGCCGACGACAGGCACTGACTCCCACCGGGTCACTTGGTTGTCTTAACGTGCTCACCGTACTATCTCGACGAGCTAAGAATGTGAGCATCAACAACGGTATGTGGGGTAACAGGCCTGGCAGATGAAGGGGGAAAAGGTAACTTCTGTGCCATGTCGCTAATATGGACAGTCTTTTTGCCGTAACAGGGATTGGGTGCGGCTGATTGCGATTTTCGGAATACTTCATTCAGGGTGGTCGCTCGCGTTTCTCGACTCCGGTGGTGGCAAAATGTCTACCCTTGAGCTTCATTCGGGACATATATTGAAGGCTATTATTGAAGCCGATTTGAAGTCTGTGTCTCTGTCGGGAAGAGTCCTCATGCAGTTCTCCAGGCAGGTTCAGCATTTGATCTCCGACATGCAAAGTTGAGGCGCGAGCAAGAAAGCGCCGACTATTTAACCGATCACCTGCATCTACTGAAGACCTCAATACGCCAAAGTACAAGACGAATGAACGCAGTTATCGCCTCTTAGTTAAGCACAGCTGCTGAGATGGCTAATGCCTCGCTCGGGTTTTACGTTGCTCTCCAAAGCACTGGGATCATCGAGATTGCTTTCGATCCCAGCAAAAGTGCAAATGAGTCTCTGTATGTTGCAGGAATCAACACGAATGCTGGTTTCATGCCGGGGTGGCTCACCTCATTCGGCGACAAGGTCTATAGCATCAGCCGTACAAACTACCCAGACAGCGATGTCGGTTCGGGTGGCGTATTCGCATTTCAGAGAGCTTCCCCTGCGAATTCGACTGAGACTGGGAACAGGCTTGTGCTCCTCAACCACGCAAGCAGCCATGGAAAGGGAGGTGTCCACTGTGAGGTGAGCCCCGACGGAAAGATCCTGGCAGCGGCAAACATCACGGCGTCGACGTTGTCGATCTATCCATTACTCGAAGATGGATCCATCGGCGCAACCACAAACGTGGTTGACTACAACCAGTCGGATCCTGGGCCTAAGGAAGCACACCCGCATCAAGCAACATTTGATCCTTCAGGCCAGTTTCTGTTTGTTCCGCTCCGGACAATGGATCGTCTAGACATCTACTCTGTTAAATGCCCCCAGCAAGTCAACAAGGTTCACAGCATCCCAATACCAGCACCAGCAGGGGCTCGGCATGTGGCATTCAATCCCATCAGTCCCTCCAAGGCATACATGTACCTCATCAGTGAGAAGGACAACTCGATTCGTGTCTTTTCTCTGGAATATAACGCTGAAGTGGCAGAAGGTCTCACAGTCGAGTTCAAGCAGACCCTTTCGGCGATGGGAGAAGACCTCGCTCCCACACCAGCCGAGCACAAAGACCTGGCGGCTGAGATTGCTGTTAGCAGTGACGGGAGATTCGTCTATGCGTCGAACCGTAACTTGACACGAGTCGACGACGATATTCTGACAGTTTACTCCGTCGATGCCGACCCTGCACATGATGACCGCCATCTGACATTTCTTCAATCTCAATCGACTCGGGGTAAGCACCCCCGAATGTTTGCACTCTCCAACGACGCGGAAAACAAGTGGGTTGCCATTGCCCACCAATTCAGTCAGGACATTACCGTTTTCGAAAGGGACACAACAACAGGTTTGCTGGGCGAGGTGAGAGGTCGAATTAGTGTCAAGGTAGTTGAGCCATACCAATCTACCCCAGACAAGGTCAGCTTTGTGAGTGTAGAAGGCCAACAAGGGCGAGAGGATTTTAAGAGAGGTCGAACAGAAGGGCCAATGTGTGTCTTGTGGAAGTAGGGTTGCAACTGTCGAGATATTGGCGAAGGTCTATTTTCAGCCTCGCAAGGCTTTGCATTACCTGCAAGACACCCATACGCACAGACAGACTTGCCAATTCCAGCACCCCCTGAGGTATTTGAAGTGAGGAAAAGGCTTAGTCGGGAGGTCAGTCGTCCAGCAAAGATTGAATGACGTTGTCCTCCGGTATTTTCCCTCTTGGGACGAAACCTTCACGCAATCATTTGCAACATCTTTCTACCTTTCCCCTTGAATCTGATCGTCAAATCTTTCACCCTGTTGTCCAAAATTGTATCCGCCACTACTCAATCCCATCGGTCTGAAAATTCACCGCTTTCAGAGAAGCCCATGGCCTGTTCGCACTTCTGCTTCGGCCGAGCTTTTTGGGATCCATTTTTCTTAGCGATTTCGGAATGATTGATCAATGAGAGTGCGGCAAACGGATGCGCTACTGACAAAAGATCTCGCCCATGGGCACTTACGGGGTCAGCTTCTGGCCAAAACCCCACGGGGTATACGAGGTAGAATTGAAGTGGTGGGGAATCTCACGCTTTCACGATGCCTCCTTGAACCCTTCTCCCTTTGTTGGCTCCTGTATATGAAGGGTCGAATTCCCTGTGGTCTGGAAGCCTTCGATTTCCACCTCCTAAGCTCAAGACACTTCGCATTTCAGAACTTGGGCCGCTATCCTTCAATATCTCGCAGCGCAGGCTCTGTCCAGCGCCAGGCCACAAACATCATGGTGTCCTTCAACAATAGGATCACGGAGAATGTCAATGGGAAACTGGCGTTTGCTTCCACGGTCATGATGTTGTCTCAAATCAATTTCGGAATGGACCTCGTCGCCTTCTCCAACACCCAAGCCATGTCTACATTTAACAGGAAGTTCGGTCACTACAATGCTAAACTTGAACGATATGCGTTGGACCCGTACTTCCTCTCGCTCCTGAACAGCCTTACCTACGTCGGTCAAGCCTTTGGCGTCATTACAGGTGGTTGGATTGCTCGACGTTGGGGACGAAGGGCTTCGTTCTGGGTCATGTCTGTGTGGGCAGTGTTGTCTGCTCTGCTCCTCGTCACGGCACAGAAGAAGGAACAGGTCCTCGTCGGTCGCATTTTCAATTACGTGTACCTTGGCCAGGAACTTGTCACGGTTCCGGTATACCAGGCAGAAATTGCTCCCCCAAAGATCCGAGGGATGATCATCGGCACGTTCCAGCTCGGTACAATGGTAAGTATAGGTGCCTTCTACAGGCGTGGAAGTGAATTGCTAACCTTGCGTCTAGGTCGGTGCTTTCATCATGGCATGTATTACCTATGGGACAAGCAAGCTGGACACTGAAGCCGCATTCCGCATTCCCTTTGGCATTTTCTTCGTTATTCCGGTGGTTGTCTTTGTCGGATCTCTGTTCATGCGCGAGGTAAGTGTGTCCTTCGAGTCACTTTATAATCTTAATCCACTCTTCTTGCTTACTTCTTGTTGTCAGTCCCCACGTTGGCTTCTTGTCCGAGAACGATCAGAGGAAGCCTTGGAGTCTCTCCGGCTATATCGACGGGGCAAATTCACCGAAGAGGAGATTATGGAAGAATACCGTGACCAGGTGGCTATGATTGTCGCCGTCACGAACGACAAAGGCACATTCAAGGAGATGTGGCAGGGGATCAACTGCAAGCGATCCCTCATCGTGATCGGCTCCAACATCAGCATCCAAATCAGCGGACAAGGACTATTCAGCAAATACGGCACCATCTTCTTGACCGACCTTCATGGACCGAATCCTTTCCAGATGTTCCTCATCAACACGTCCTTGCAGATTGTGGTCATCCTGGCTGCTATGTATCTCTTTGATAGAATCGGTCGCAAGTAAGTTTCACTCTACAAGAGAGATTTCCCCAGACTAATGGTATATGGGCAGACCTCCGTTGATTATCGGGTCCATCATTCAGACCACTACATTCCTCGCCATCGGTGGACTCGGGACTATATCGGATCCCAGCAAAAATGTCAAAGTCGCACTCACAGCCCTGTTTACCGTCTACTACCTGGGCTTCGTCTTTGGCTGGGGTCCCATCTACCACATTCTTTCGTCTGAGATACCCACCTCACGTATGTTTGCTCGATTCATCTATCTCAGTCTGTCCATTCTGTGAAACGAAAAGGCTAATACCCCACATCGGGACACAGGCATGCGAGACATCACATACACGGTATCCAGCATCTTCACCGTCGTCACGCAGTTCGTCGTTTCCTTTACGATCCCGTACCTGCTCTATGCGCCGTACGCAGATCTCGGATCCAAGATCGGCTTCATCTTCGGGCCCATCGCCTTCGTCACGCTCCTCTTTGCCATCTTCTGCGTGCCCGAGTGCCGCGGCTTTTCGCTCGAAGAGATCGACCACCTGTTCAGGGCGAGGGTGCCTATCCGTCAGTTCCGCAGATACAAGCACGGCCAGATTCTGCCGGAAGGAGGTGCCGAGAAAGAGACGGAGAAGGCGGGAGAAGGGCCTTCTGTGGAGCTTAAAGAGGTCGCTGAGATGTAGACTCTAGGCTGGATGGGACGGATGTCCTGGGAGAGTATCGCGAGGAGCAACGCCTGCTTTGGAAAGGTGAATCGTACCAGTATACGTGATAGTGATAGTCATCTACGGTATAGGGATCGCAATGAGGATATCAGTCATGATGTTTACCCTAAAGCATAGCCTGGATCATGCCCAGTCCACCTTCCCCATCATCAACCAATTCTTCTTCTTCGTCCTCCTTCACATGTAATCCCTCGAGCATAGCAGAGCAATTAGCCCATATCCTCTCGCCTGTGGACCTCAAGTCATATGCGTTAAGCTGCGAGTCTTCCCTACCCTGCTGAGACACCAGACTGTTGCATTCTCCTGCGGCAAGATATTCACCCGCAAGTTCGCAACCAGAGGACGATTTGGGGTCATGGATCAGCCGTCACACTATTTCTGGCGTCTGGTGGCGTGGTTTCTCACTTGACCATCTTTCCATTCCGACTAACGCTGACGCCAGGTTCTGATGCCGAAACATTGCGACTTCGCAGTGTCGCCACACATGATCCGATGATCATCCCCAGGTTTCCCCGCCAACTAGTTCCTCTGTTCCTCCACAATCATCGCTTGACTGCTTTGCGTCTCTCCGGAATTCGAAATGAGACACCCCGAAAGCTCCTCGCCCACCGCTTCCCTCTCCCCTGTGGCTCATTGAGCTGCCACGATCGCTTTGAATATTCCCCGATGAGGAGTGGTGGAGGGATCTTTGCGATGGCGCACAACCAGTTCGGGCCCGAAGAGAGGTCCGATGAGGGATTTGCAAGGATGTACAGTGACAAGACTAAGACATAAAGAGCGCTCGCTGGTCACTCACGTCGAGCAGCACAAGTCCATTGGAAACTATTTGGGGAATAAGTCAAGTCGAGTACATAGACAAACACCACCGTCAGCCAAGAACCATCAAGATCAGTATCGAATCATCTACTGTCAATATGTCTCCAGGAAGAACAAAGGACGAGCTCCGCATCTTCACCCCCGTCGGCCAGTTCGGCCAAGGGTGGAACTCGAGCGTCTTCTGGGATGTAGTGGACTCTGGTGTGGACGCCATCATCGCCGACGCCGGCTCGACCGACAGTGGCCCTGGACGTCTCGCGCTCGGCAAGACGGCAGCCTCCCCGGCAGGATACAAGAGGGACTTTGGCGAGCTGGTCAAAGCGTGCCACACCCACGGCGTCCGCTGCCTCATCGGCTCTGCCGGCGGTTCTGGCTCGAACGAGCTCGTCGACATGAGCGCTCGGCTCATCAAGGAGATCGTCGAGGAGAACGGCTACCGTCCGATGAAGGTCATCAGCATCTACGCCGAGATCCCCAAGGAGACCGTGCGCCAAAAGTTCAAGGACAATCTCATGAGTCCGTGTGGCCAGGCTGTGCCCCAGCTCAAGGAGGAAGACATCGACTCTGCGGTGAGGATCGTCGCGCAGATGGGCTTGGAGCCCTATGTCAAGGCGATGAACGGGAACCCGGACTTTGATATCATCATTGGTGGCCGCTCTTATGATCCGGCCCCGTACGCGGCGTTCTGTCTCCACCATGGATTTGAAGATCTAGGTGAGTGTCCCCATCTTGTCCTTTTGCCAGGCACTGTCCCACAAACTTCTTTGTGAAGCCCATCTCATCCTTCTTCACACATATAAAAAAGTGATAGCTGATCCAACATCCAACGACAGGGATCAACTATGCCATGGGCAAGATCATGGAATGCGGCGCACAATGTGCTATTCCCAAATCTAGAGAATCCCTCGCGATCGTGCGCCGTGACAACTTCGACTTGATCCCGCTCCAGCCAGGGGCTCGATGCACTCCCCTGTCCGTGGCTGCCCATCTCTTGTACGAGAAGAGCAGACCAGACATCCTCCAAGGGCCAGGCGGCGAGCTGCACACCAAGGACATGACGTACGAGCAAGTCGACGAGCGTACCGTGAGGGTGCGCGGGCCCAAATTCGTCCCCCAGCCCGACGGGGAGTATACGGTCAAGACCGAGGCGGCTCGGATCAACGGCTATCAAAACAGTTTCGTAGGTGCGTTCCGGGACCCGATCCTGATTTCTCAGCTCGACACGTGGATCCCGGCCGTCAAGGAGACGGTCAGGGCCAGGATGTCGGGCGGTTACGAGTACGAAACCAAAATCATCACGTACGGGATCAACGGCGTCATGGGCGCGCTCGAGCCGGACAAGAGTCTCCCCAAGGAGGTGTGCGTGGTCGTCCAGTGCCGGGCTCCCACGCAGGAACAGGCGAACGAGGTAGCCAACAGGACCAAGATGGGCTTGACCCATGCGCCGTATCCCGGACAGCTCGCCACGGCAGGGAACTTTGCGTGGCCCATCACGCCGTGCGAGACGCCCATTGGCCCGATCCCGGAGTTCTGCATGTACCATCTCATCCACAAGGCGGATCCGGTCGGTCTGTTTCCCTTCCGTGTGGATGTGTTTGAAGGATCCAACACGTTTGTCGATACTCGTATGTTACCCCCCTTTTGCCTGTCTATATGCATGCGAAGTCAACTGACCCCTCCGATCCTCAGGTGAAAAACTCCCCGTCAAAGCCGACGCCGCCATCTCCCTCATTAAGCCTTCCGGGCCCAGCGCCCCAGGCCAACCGAGGAAATACTACCTCCAGCCCGCCCCTCCCACGGGGACCTGCTACCTGGGCGACATCGCCTCGGTGGTACGGAGCAAGATTGCCGGCCCCTACGAAGTGACCTTTGACATCATGTTCCGTGACGAAGAGGTGTACCAGCGCGTCAAGAACGCGAACGTGCTCTCTGGCGCCGCGGTGGCCAAGCTGTACAATATCCCCGAAAGCGACGTCGTTGCCGCGCTCTGGTGGGATCCAGCCAGGGCGTTCAAGGCGACCATTCCACGGTACCGCGCCTCGGCCGGGTTTGAGGAGACGGACACGCACGGGTCGCAGCAGCATGCGCCTCTTCTCTTCTTGACGCTGCCTTGGGGGAGAGAGTAGGGCTTAACTGGGCGGGTGAAAGGGGACCAAGGGGGCTTGATAGCGATGATGATAGTGATGAGCTTGAGAGAATATCTTAATTCAATCGATGTATTTGCCCAACCTTAAGATCCACCATATTCATTCAAGCCTTTAAGTCTTTAAGTCTTCTGACGACGACACAAATCCAAGTTATTTGCGTAATAATACGCTACGTACACGATGTTTGGAGTGGTAGAGATAGTAAGATCTGTACAGACCATATAGCTTGACAACCCATGGCACTCTATGAAGAGTATTCCAAGACTATGTGGCAAGAAGATCCCATATGAGTCAGCATCCCCACAAGTTGAACTCTCAATGTTAGAGAGGCCGTTCCAAACTCATATCGTGCAAAAGATTGTCCGAGGAATGATTTGCCCGTACGTTCCTACGTTGGCAGACACAGCCGACGGGAGGGAGTATCAAATGCCTCGAAGATATCTCCGTAGTTTGTGGTAGATCTCCCTCACCTCCGCATATCGCAATGTTTGCAAATCTGGGGGGGCATTTCCCAAAGTGGCAGTCAATGCCGTGTCTTTTGTGGGCTCCCCATTAGGGCTCCCCATTCCACCATTGCGACTTTCGCAATGCTCACCCCAACTCCCGGGCGGCAATTGGCCATCTCAGAGAATAGAGCGGGGTTGGCCGTCCAGCAGAGAATCATGGGGGATATAAGACCTCGACATGCATGACCAACATCGCCAAAGCATTGCGATTTCACTCTGCTTGAATCGGAATCCCCCTTCCCTCCCCTCGGCATCCCTGCATATGCCCCAACAATGAAAGCCAAAGCCTGCACCCGCTGCCGTCAGTGGAAGGTGGGCTGCGATGCCGACGTCGCCGGGCCTGAGGGCTGTACGCGCTGCCGCAGCGTCAATGCCAAGTGCGTCTTTGGGCCCAACTTTCGCCGGACGCCCAAGAGGCGCATGTTGGCGGATTTGCAGGATGAGGTGACTCGGCTGAGGGCCTTGACGTCGGTGTTGACTGTTGGAGAACGAGAACGGGCACAAGGGCAAGGACAAGGACAAGCACAGGTCCCCGTCGGCGAGAGTCCTACGACGTCGTTGGAAACAAACGTTTCGTCGTGGGGGGTGGAAAATACTTCTTCTTCCTCATCAGCTATTGTTGTCGAGTCTATACCGACCGCAGTCCAGCAACCACCACCGCCACCAGCAACAGAATCTCCTCCTCCCCCAATACCGGTTCCAAATCTGTACTATAAAGGCAGCAGCCACGTCCAGCTCACGGTCACACAGGCCAACGAGCTGTTCCGCATCTACTTCACGAGATGTCACCCGTATCTTCCCTTTGAGATGTGCCGGTCGGTCCAGATCGTCTACGATCGCTGTCCGCTCCTCTTCTGGGTTGTCTGCGCCGTGGCATCCACGGACAAAGCACGACCCCAACTTGCAGAGATTGTCCGCAGTCACGTCGGCAGCGTGTTGGATCCCAGCACCGGCTCCGTGGAGGTGGTCCAGGCCCTGTTGATCCTGGCGATGTGGCCCTTTCCTTTCAAATCGCAGCGATTTGACCCGTCGTTCATGTACGGCGCACTAGCATGTCAACTGGCGTTGCAGATTGGCTTGCCTCGACCGGCGGTGACATATCCCGGCTGCGCAAAGTCTGACACCGTGAACAACGACGACCACGGCGTGCGGACCACAACGTGGATCGCGTGCTTCGTGGTCAACCAGATCCTCGCCAGCCGACTGGGAGTTCCCGCCACCATCTTCGCCGACTACGCGCTCCTGTCGTCCCTCGACGACCCTCTGGTGTCGCCGCAGCTGTCCCACCTCTGCGCCATCTCCCACCTGACCGTGGAATCGGCGCACGCGATCGGTGCGCGGGCTGTGAACGTCTCCGGCCTCGCTGACCCGATCCCACGGATCAGCCTGATCACCATCTTCGCGCAACAGTTCGACGAACTGCGGCGCACGCGGTTCCCTTCGCCGAGCGAGATCGAGGAGATCTTCTTCCTCAGCTCGACGCTGCAACTGTGGTCGTTCGCGCTGCACAACGACGTGCCCATCTCTGCCGAGACGTTTTCGATCGTGCAGCGCGCGCGCCACGACGCCATCCGCCTGATCCAGGTGGCGTGCGAGAAGAACCTGGGCCTCGTGCCCTTTTACACGCACCGCTCCGTCTGCTTCGCCGCCCTGCTGCTGTACCACATCAAGCTCAGCCCGTACGGCGTCCTCAGCGACGCCCTCCTCGACGACCACATCGCCCGCGCCCAGCAGGCCCTGCAGTCGCGCACGGGGCCCGACCTCGCCCGCTTCCTCCAGACGCTGACCTCGCCCGAGAACCGGGCCGAGTTCATCGCCCGCCGCGACAAGACCGCCTCGCACCGCTGGAAAATGGGCGCCGCCTTGACGTTCGACTCGGCCCACGCGTACGCAAACCTGACCACGCAGGCCGAGGCGCTGTTTTTCCCAGAGTTGTTGGACCTCGATGGGTTTTTGTTCGAGACGCCGACTTCGACGACCATGTTGGGGTGATGGTTTCACGTGTCTTTTATCTCAATGCCCGCGGCTGTGGACAGCGTTACGCAGAAATAAAACTAGCAAGAACGAAAGAGGATTCTTAGCAACAGAACCAGGCGAAGAGGTAATATTTTCGACTCGGGAGTGAAGGGTGCACAATCAAAAGCCGGATCTGTTATTATCCTTTTCAAAGCATAACTATATGATATCATGTATCATGGATCATGTCTCGTTCCATCCTTTGCTTTTCTTTGCTTTGTCCACCCGCACACACGCATGCAATCCCTCCACCAACCCCCTACTCATAAAGCATATCATATCATGTCATCTCATCTCATGTCATGTCAATGCCAGACTAACAAACCTGTTGCACTCAGTCAGAAGGGATATAGCCTTGACTGTAGACTGGCCATGATACCCCCCCTGAAGATGTCGAAGTGATGTCGAGGAGTCAGACGACGGCCTCTTTCCCAGCCAAGGACGCTTGCGGATGTATTAATTCTCGTTCGGCAGCCAGTCTGGTCAACACGCCAACAGCACACATTTGTCACCGGTCAGTCTCATCGCTGTCGCCCATTCAGAAGCAAAAAGAAAGGGGGCATAGATGGCGCGCAAAGCAGACGAATTACTCTGCCTGTCTGTCTTTTTCTGTGCCCTCTGACTGGGTCGATTTACTCACCTCTTCTTCTCCCTCGTGTGGAACCACAGCGTCAACAGGGCCAACCCGACCATTCCCGGCCCGCCGATGAACAGCACGGTGGCGAACCCGGCGGCGTAGCGCGGCGCGTCGACCTGCTGCCACACGATCAGGGGCAGCCAGATCTGGATGACATAGGCCATCTGGTTCATGCCGCCCGTGACCATGGCGCGCTCTTCGTTGTCGGCCGAGCAGATTTCGTGGGCCCAGCTATACACGTACAGAGTCAGAAGAACAGCGACGTGGAGGAGGAAGGTGGGATTCCTTGGATAGTGGGTAGTGGGTAGCGGGTAGGGGGCATACCTCATGATGATTCCCGCCAGTGCCGCCCCGACGCCCATCAGGATGTAGCACGCCCAGCGCCAGCCATTGGGGATATTCCAGATCCAGAGGGACGTGTAGCAGACGATATTGAATATCTTCCAACACACAAGCACAGTCAGCAGCAGCCGCGTAAACAGTCAAGGAGGGAAGAGAGCGTCTTTTCCCTCCCTCTCTCTCTCTCTCTCTCTCTTTTCTGTCCGGGAAGAACTCACCCCGCCGATAATGATCGAGGGCCACCTCCGACCCTTCAGGACCGAGTCCGACGTCCACGCAAAGACGAGGGTGCAAAAGATCTGCACCCCGTACGTCGACGTGGGGTAGTTGTTGATCTGCGGCACCGTGTATTTTGGGCTTGTCGAGTCCTTGAGAAACTGGGCAAAGACGGGCTGTCCAGAGGCGCCGCCGTTGTTCCAGCACCTGGCCGGGGCATCAGCCTCTACACGAGTGACACGAAGACCACCACCACCACCACCACCACCACCACCACCAGCAAAAAGACTCTCGACTTGACTTACACGTAGAGAGGAATCAGACACCAAATGTGCCACGAGGTCAAAATCTTCCAGAACTTGGCGCGCGTGTACGGCTGACGGGTCGCGCGACCTTCGAGCTGGATGCGCTTTCGAGCGAGGGCGATGTCCTATAGCGCCAGACAATGAAACAGAATGTTAGATCCGACATATTTCCATGGTATTGGGCCTGGCTGTGTGGAGTTCCAACTGACCTGCGGCGTAAAGTACCACGCACGAGTGATATCAGGAAAGTCTGGGAGCATGAAGAAGCCTGCGAGGGCGATGGGGAGTGAAATGACGCCGTCCATGATATACAGCCTGCACGTCGATATCAGTCAGAGCTCTGTAAGTTGTGGCGATGATGTCGGTGGACATACCACTGCCACCCCCGAAGACCTCCAACGCCTTCCAAGTGGTAGACCGCCGCCATCAGATATCCAGAGAACATGGTGCCGATGGGATACGCGGCCTGGAAGATGCAGGATCTCTTGGCCAGCTCGTCTGATCGATACCAGGATCCAATAATGTATATCATGCCGGGATAGAGAGCGCTTTCGAAAAGTCCTGAGAAAAGGGGGGGTTGGTCAGCTAGTTACCTAGAAAGGAATATGTTCTCGACTTTTGGGTATACGACACGTCGACGAGGGAGACTTGCCGACAAAGAAGCGGATTGCGTAGAATTGATGAGCAGACGATGCTCGTGAAGACGCCATGGTGCAGATGGTCCATAGAAGCTACACACGCTGTTGTCAGACAACCACCAACTCGACAAGAAGGTGAGAGTGGTGAGTATTGACGAACCTCCATGCACGGGATAAAGATAGACGGTCTCACACGCGTGAGGATCATATTGGTCGGCAAGCCGCCAATGACATATCCAGCCGAATAGCACGTCTGCATATAGTTCAGCTGGTTGCCGTAGAGGTTGAGATCCTCCTTCCTGTCGTTGCTGTCAGCTTTGAACTTTGCCGAAGCGTCTTCTTTCTTCTTCTCCTCGCTCTTACATTCCCGAGACAAAGGCATTGTTCAAGTTGGCCTGGTCGAGGTACTTGATAAAGTAACCTTCGTGTCGACATTAGCAAAACAGTTTGCTTTTTCCTGTCTCGAAACGTCCCTTACCCAGACACCCAAACGTCAACAGCGCGCAGTCGAGTTTGAAGACAAACTTGCGTTCTTCGGGAGACTTGTCCAACGAGTCCCAGATGTAGCTCCTCCAGTTCTTCTTCGCCGTGGGCGTCTCCGGGACGAGGTCTTCTGCCCGTGCTTGAGCGTCATGGGAGGGGGAGCTCTCGAGCTCTTCGACATGCTGGATCGGCTTTGAATCCATGGCTTCGTTCGACCAGAATGATAAACAAGCGTTGAGCACACAAAACAGAGGAAGTTGAAGAGCGTCTCTCTCTCGATAGATATATAGGCCCGACCTTGGGGGAAGGTCGGGTGGGTCGAAGGGCACTTCTCTTACCCCTTTCGGCGAGGCTGCATTCTGCGGGGACTTTGGGGGAATTTGTCCGGGGAAAAGTCAGGTCACAAGTAGTTTGAGCCGTCGAGCCTGTCGGTGAAAGTGGCGTGGGTCTCGCAGAACCTCCGGGCCACCTGATGTGCAAGTTCGGAGGAAGTGCGAGGCCCTGGCGGCAAATCGGCAATTTTCCCTTTGAATGTGATGAAAAGGAAAAGGGACGGTACACGGTAGACGTTAGAGGGCCCGCTTTATTTATGTGGCAAGGAAGGAGTACGGTATGGTTGGTTGGATATCTAATGGTCTTCTCTCGCCCAATGCCCTGGTATGGAAGCCTATGTAATGGAAAAGCAAAACGGGTCAATGGACGATGTGAGCATCCAATCCTCATCGAACCCAAAAGCGTCCGAGGAGACATTCTCACTCATCGGCCCGTAGGAATCGTCCTCCATGTCGGCTGGAATGTTGAGAGGATGGTGGTCCCCGTCGCGTCGTGCCTGGTAGAGGGGTTTCGCCTTCAGTCTGGAGATCATCTTGCTCAAGCCCGTCGCTATATGGCGACACAAGTGTCTCCGGCTGGCTTGGGCGTTCGACATCAAGTCCACCACGGCCTGCACAAGATCCAGAACCTGTCGCCTCTCAATGTTCAGCGACGCCGAGTTCCAGCTCCACACGACCTTGAGCAGAAACACGGCGGCGAACGCGATCATGGTATGCTTGAACAGGGTCACGCGCGCGACGGCATTGCGGATGTCTGGCTCGTGCAGGACCAAGTTCATGGTGGACATGGCAGAGGCAATGGCCGAGTTGGCCGCTTCTCTACGATCTAGGGAGAACTGATGGTTGGGCGATATTGCCCGCAGAGCGAGAGAGTTGAGCTGTAGTTTGGCGAAATGGTAGTGCAGTACAACGCCCTTGGATGGGTACGTGCCGACGTACGGATTGGGAGCTGAGCTATTAGTATCATCCCTCTCTATTCAGGCCGGTATTGAGCAGGGTATCTCACCGATTCTGGGTTGCCATTTCATCCGCCACCCTTCTACCTCCAAGCAGAAGGCTCTCAAAGTGTTAAAGTCCTCCTCATTCAGCGGTTGCTGGCTGTCCGACCCAAAGGTGTGATACGCATTGGTCAGCACAATGAACAGGGCCACCTGAGCCATCAGTCTCATGTCTGCTGGCCCGGCCATGGGTGAGCTCAAGAAAGACTCGTAGCCTTTGATTGCAGCATTGTCGTGGATGACGGGAGGACGACCATATGCAATGCTGTAGTGATGGTCACACACGTAGAGGAGATACCACAGCTGCGCTCGCTCGTGTTGATCGGGCTCGCCTCGTTGCATCTTGTGGAAGGCTTGATGGAGGTTCAGCTCGGTCGCAATCCGAACGGCGACTCCAGAGAGTTTCCAGCTGAGATCTGAGAGCCAAAAGGCACCAATGCAGAGAGCTCGAATGTCGTCCAGGTTGTGGTCGCGGTAGATGAGGGACCCGGAGATCAGGGAGACAAATTCTGAATAGCAGAATTCAAACATCTCTTCCCCCTGCGGGATGTGCAATGCGGCCACAGCAAGGATGGCGGCACAGAGCAGAGAAGAAGATCTCCGAGCAGACTCGAGGTCGCGGTGGACAAGGGCAATTCCTCCCCAGAGGATATGGTTCATGGTCGTGTCAAAGAAGGAAAACAGTTCCCTGGCGACATGGTGAGGCAGGGCTCCGCGAGAGATCAAATCGTCCTCGGGCGTCTTTGCAATCCTGTGCTGGGACACATCACTGCGGATATTCCTCAGCTTTGTGACTTCGAATAGACTGCGCATGGGTGCAGAGACAAGTTCCTGTTCTGCTGTTGGTTCCTGAGACGTCTCCCGAGTTCTGACTTCGCGACTATCCTTGGTCGCTGCAGCAACAAAGCCCCCCAACTTGAGACGGTCGGAGTTGACTGGCTCTGTAAGGCTTGTAGGGAATGAGGATAGAGGCGGCATACAGTTTCTCTGGAGTATCTCAGTCACCGCAGCCTGGAGCTGGACGATGTTGGTCTCGGCCTCTTTCTTCCAGCTTCAAGATTTGTCGTGTCAGGTTTCATTCAATCCTCGCACAGTGGACAGAGCACATACTCTTGGTCATCCTCAAAGATCCTCTCCAGCTTGTTGCTGCTGACGCAACGATAGCCATACTTTCGGCATCGTGCGCAGCTTGGCTGTCCGGGAGACTGATCGCAGCGCACCTTGTGCTTTTTACATTCTGTACCTTGACGACGATGAGCATCGTTGCCCATGCTTTAGCTTCTGGAGTGGCTGAAGAAGACTCACAGGCACGGCTCTTGTAAGGCAGCATCCCTCGCGTATCACATGGAATGTTTTACCTGGTGACTGAGACCCAAAGGACTGGTTTCTGTGGGGGGCGGGATCCTTACTCCTGAATTCGTGAAGTTCGGAGTGCCAGCGAGATATGCTGGAGGAAGGCCATCTGAAAGCCATGTGAGTCCGGAAGGTCGCCGTGATCGGCGAGGTAAAGCCATGTGAGTCCCTACCCAGAGCATTCCATTTCTTGGGGTAGTCTCACATTCAGGCGAGAACGGCACAACGGATATCGGCTCCCCTCTGAGTCTATGTGGTCCAACATGTCGGCCTCCACCCGTGGTATGAGGAAAGTGTGAAAGTATCGTCGTGGAACCCCCGTCAAACCAGGATGAGAGCAAGGATTTTAGGCTATGAACGTCAATCACAGGCTATTTCGAGTTAGACACCAACTAGAACATGCATCTACTCTGCCTATTGGCCACTCCGCATGATCTGCTTAATGCGTGCCGAGGTCGGTTGGAGAATGCAGCATCGGAGAAAGTGCGAACTACATTACATACCACTCGGGGATGGCCGTCGTTGATGGGCATAGGAGAGGCATCATGGCCACCACAGGATATCACTCCATGGTTTCTGCTGGTAGAGGCTTCAAGAAGACCCGGGCTTCCCCACTCGAGGCAATTCTCCGGTGGTGGGCAATCAGACGACCTGCGTCTAATACATACAAGTATGTAATGGCACCTTTGCACCAAAAGAAAGCATCTCAGTATCGGACTACCACTATCCACTGTCAATAAGGAAGCAAGATGCCACTCCACGTACCAATAACCGTCCATGGAGACAAGAGACAAGGGCCATTTAAGCCCATCTACAGATTCTTTGGATGCGACGAACCCAACTACGTCTACATGAAAGACGGCGAGAAGTTGATCAAGAAACTGGGCCAACTGGGAAGTGACCAGGTCTTTTTCCGCGTCCACAATCAATTCACCACGGGCAAGGGGGTCCATGCCCTGAAATGGGGGAGCACGAACGTCTACACCGAGGACGCGGCGGGAAACCCCATCTACGACTGGACCATCATCGACCAGATCTACGACACGTGGCTGTCGCGCAACGTCAAGCCCTACGTCCAGTTCGGATTCATGCCCGAGGCCATGTCGACCAATCCCCAGCCGTACCAACACTCGTGGACGCCGACGGCTTCTTACAAAGAAGTCTTCACGGGCTGGACGTATCCCCCCAAGGACTACGAGAAGTGGGGGGAGCTCGTCTACCAGTGGACCAAGCATGTGGTCGATAAATACGGCAAGGCGGAAGCCGAGACCTGGTACTGGGAGACCTGGAACGAACCCAACATCGGTTACTGGCAAGGAACCCACGAGGAATACTGTAAGCTCTACGACTACACCGTCGAGAACGTGCGGAGGGCTCTACCCACTGCCTTGGTTGGTGGTCCTGAAACGGCCGACGGTGGACCAGAGTACCTCCGGAGGTTCTTCGAGCACTGCCTACGAGGCAAGAACTATGTGACGGGAAAGACAGGCTCTCCTCTCGACTTTACCTCGTTCCACGCCAAGGGAAAACCCGAGTTTATCGAGGCGTCGCAGCACGTTCGCATGAATGTCGGTCGACAGCTCCACATCATCGACGAGTCTTTCGGGATCATTGCCTCGTTCCCCGAACTCAAGGACAAGCCCATCGTCATTGGGGAGTCAGACCCAGAGGGCGCCGCAGCGGCTCAGGGTCCGCAGCTGGGATATCGCAATGGGACCATGTATTCGTCCTACACGGCCGCCAGCTTTATCCGCAAGCAAGACCTTGCCGCTCGACACGGGGTCAATCTTGAAGGAGCTCTGACCTGGGCATTCGAGTTCGAGGATCAACCATACTTTGCGGGATTTCGGGTCCTTGCGACCAACGACATTGACCTGCCCGTTCTCAATGTGTTCAGAATGTTTGCGAAGATGGGAGGATCGCGACTCGAGACCGAGAGTGAAGGACAGGTCCAGCTGGAAAGCATTCTTCAGAACAGCGTGCGAAACGGACCGGATGTCGGTGCTGCTGCCACCTTGGATGGGGACAGACTGAGCATCTTCGTGTGGCATTACCATGATGACGATCAACCAGGGGAGGTGGCCAACGTGGACATCTCTCTGCAAGGACTCAAATGGAACTCGCCGAGGAGTAGTCGACTGAAGCACTACCGCATTGACGAGCATCACAGTAACGCATATACAAAGTGGAAAGCAATGGGTTCTCCACAAGCGCCGTCGAGCGAGGAATATACGCAGCTGTCTGAAGCGGCTCAACTGACCACGCTGGAGGACCGCGAGACGGAGATTGGTACGAGAGATTCCACCACAACCTTGTCGTTTTCTCTTCCTCGGCAGGGTGTGTCTTTGATCGTGCTCGATGGAGTTTCGTAGAGGTTTAGTCACAGATACATACATCATTACAATCTTCAGAGGACAGAAAAGAAAGGCAGAAGCTCTACCATACCTGGCGACTGTTCACCCAGGTCCTCATGTGGATTCCGCAAGATATTGTCTCATACTTCCCAGCAACTGGTTCCTGCGAGTGGAGTCGATCCTAAGCTACTTCTGGCAACAGCCACAGTGAACTAACTGTTTACAGCCCCGCGACATGAGAAAGAGGAGCATTGCGGAATAACATTATTCCATCAAATAAGACCACGTACGAGGTACACTTGGGATCTATCCAGCGTGTGTTGAGTGACTACAACTACATGTACCAAGTATTTATCCCGAGCTCTGTCACCATCAGCCTCTAGCAAGATAAGTCATGAACTACCCTCAAGCTTCATGACAATGCCCTGTCGGCGACCAATAAGGATCACTTGCACGGTACATGAGGTAATCGCCGAGCATCGACATCGCTGAAGCCTCTGTTGAGCCACGAATCTCAAAGCGCCCCCGTCCACGAATCTTGCCTCGAGCCATTTCTGTCTTATTGTGAGATCCGGCATCGACGGAAAAATACAAGTCCAGAATCACATCTCGAGAAATGCCGACCGCGGCAATCACACATACATCACTCTAGCTATGCGCGCTCTGATGACGACAATTACCATGCTGCGACGCATCGAGGTGGTGGGTTCCGCCACCTCGTTGGACAAAGTCCGATCCAGATTATGTACTAGGACCGAGCATTGAATTTTGTTAGCGCCCAGGCGAAACGGATTCGGGAATGTCTGCACTTCTCCAACAGGACGTGCATGAGCCTAATCCGGGTCTTCTGGTCACGCCATCTCCCGTGAATGGAAAAGTGCAGGCCAGTCACTCTGGTCAGGCACATCTTATCATTGGAGAGGGAGAGAGACGTGTTGAACCACAACCGCCAACAAGGTGCATGGACAAGTTATGTACCAAGTACTTGGAGCGAATGGTGATTGTGGTGGCTTGAGAAAGACCTTCACTTCGTGACTCCTGCCTCGAAGTAGTAGGCCCAACCTTCTCGAAACGGACATTTAAATGGTTTGTGTTCGTACCAGGCTGAATGGATCGATACAAGAATTATTGCAGATCCTCGAATTGGTCGTTCGGAAACTGCGGCTGCACTTTCATGACGAGCCATGCAGCAGCGACGCCCGGTCTACCAGGGAATGGAAACATGGCTACTCATTTATTCTTATAGCAGGAGTCAGCCAGATCAAGGGCAGCAATGGGAGTTTGTTCGCGATTCTTCCGACCTGTTCTTCCCCTGCGGTCTGTCTCTGTCCTTGGACTACATACCATCTTCTGTGCAAATTCGATCCGACTTGGTCGTAGACACCTCTCTCGATCTGTTCTGTGTGCGGACATTACTTCTGGGACAAACCTCGCTACCATGGCGGAACCGACAGGGTTGACTGCACAGTCGGGCATCGAGCTCCTAACATTCGGTCAGTCCAAGTGCCACCTCCTCTTCCGAAAAGAAACAGTAAGGCTGACCACACTCACTACACCAGGAACGCCCAACGGCGTCAAGATCTCGATCCTCCTGGAAGAGCTCAAAGCGGCCTACGGCAAAGACTACACCTACCAAGCCATCAACATCCTCAAGGACACGCAAAAACAGCCGTGGTACACGTCGCTGAACCCCAACGGCCGCATCCCGACCATTGTCGACCACGACCGCGGCGGCTTGGTGGTCTTTGAAGGACTGGCGATCCTGTCGTACTTGACGCGCCATTACGACCCGGAACACAAGTTCAGCTTCCCCCTCGACTCGGACGACTATTCGATCTGTGAGCAGTGGGTGGCGTGGCAGCACGGGGGGATCGGGCCCATGTATTCAGCCCCTACACCGTTTCAAAGGAATTGTCTGCGTAGAGACAAACACTGACACGCACGTCTCCCCAGGCAGGGCCAGGCCGTCTACTTTGTCCACATCGCCAAAGAAAATGATCCCTTCGCCATCCAGCGCTATGTTGGCGAGTCCGAGCGTCTCTACGGCATCTTGGACGCTCGTCTCCGGGATCGCGACTGGGTTGCCGGCCCCGGCCGTGGCAAGTACTCGATCGCAGACATCTCCCTGGCCGGATGGGCCAACCTGATCCTGTACACGCACATCGATCTGAGCAGGTTCCCGAATGTCGAAGCCTGGCTTGAGCGCCTGTACGCGCGACCCGCACTGCAGCAGGGTCTCGCCGTGCCGAGCGGCACCAGTCCTCTTGTTGGAAATCAGACGCTGAAGAAGAGGTTGCTCGAGGATGAAGAGTTCAAGGCCAAGCAAGCCGCGACGGGGAAGCTGGTCCAGGAGGCTCAGGCGCAGTATCACTATCAGTACTCGTCGCCTTGATGTTTGGGGAGGTTCAAGCTCATAACATGGCAGTCTAGCCCCTGATGATAGCATCAATCACAGCATATTTGTGAGGCATCCAGGTGGACAGGTTCTTGGTCCATACGTGGCTCTGAGATCTATAATATAGGATTGAGAATGCTTCGTCAAATTGTACGTGTTGCAACACCCTCCCAGTCCTCGCATAGAGAGTACCATAGCTGGTCGGGCCACTCGGCACCAAGAAGAGCAAACTGGCGTCAGTCTGGGTTCTTGTACCTGTCGAGCACCTGGATATTTGTGCCTTGCTGGATTCATCAATGATAATGTCGACATTCCTGCCCCGCTGGAATCGAGTCTCGGCCTCAACTTACCGGTGTGTGCGATGCATCAACGCTCCGCCAAGCTAGCCAGTCAGTACCTACAGTAATTAGTCCACTAAGTCGACGAAGTGGGTAGGTAGGCAAGTAGGTACCTAGGTATAGACGTACGTTCCTCTTCTCGGAATTCGTTCGGAAGAGATCTGATTTAGTCGGGGTCGGGGATTGATCACCGCCCCAAGGGATTATTTCTCCGTGTCATGTTTTCCGAGTCAGGGCATCTCGTTTCGTCCATGCGGAGATGAGCTTCCGCGCTCCGCGTGCGTCGCGCGTGGACAAGCGACCTTGTGAGCATGTCAGCATTTTCATGTCATCCTCCCCCCCAGTTGGGTGTTCCCGTTCTCCGAGTCTGCATTCCTAGCAGGGACAATAGCTATTACATCCTCTGGGTCAAACTCGTAATAGCTTGAGAGCCGAGGTCTCGACCAACCCCTGGAGCTCTGGTCCTAACGTTTTGACGTAGGAGGAGGGCCACAGATACGGAAAATCGATCAGTTGTTTTGTTTGTCCGCGATAGCTTTAGTCGTCTTTTTTTCACATGTCCTCTTTCTTTCTTCTTTTTAGGTGCATTTGGCTGGTTTTGGGGGAAAATCTCAATCGAATCCATCCTGGTGGTCTCGGATCCCGCGCGAGTGTCTTGTAGAGTGAATTGAAATCGAACTTGAACTGACAAGCAATCTCATCGAAATGCCCTACTACGGGGCGAAGCTGGACACAGGTAAGGACCCCGCCCCTCATGTCAGTCGACAAATTTCCCATAGTTTTGTCAGTCTTTTGCTTGCGCGGCCGTCTTGTACTGATGTGTTGGAACTCTCGCAGCAATCCCTGAAAATGTCACCATCTGGTCGTGGCTGTTTGAAACCTCACACACACCGCCGGGGGTAAAGCCAACGGGAGGTTTCCGTGACGCATCGACCGACCAGTTCCTGTCCTTTGACGACATCCGACGCCTCGCAACTCGCTTTTCGACCATCCTGTACCACAAATACGGTCTTCGCGCGGGAGACGGCGTCTGTGTGTTTGCCTCCAACACGATATGGTACCCCATCGCAATGTTCGCCGCGGTGCGGCTCGGCGTGGTGTTCACGGGTTCGTCGCCGGAATATGGTGCGGAAGAGGCCGGCTACATCATGAAGGCCTCGAGGGCAAAGCTGGTGTTTGCCGACCAGGGTTCGCTCAAGGCGGTCTCGCAGGCGTTTGACAAGGAGCGGATCGTCCTTTTGGAACCCGCCCACGCATCTGGTCCTTTGCCCACGGTCAAGAGGCTCCTCGATGAAGTAGACTCTGCCAGAACTCCAACGCCTTTCACGCTTCCCGCAGGAAAGACAAACGGCCAGGTCTGCGCGTACTTGAGTTTCACCTCGGGCACGACGAGCCGGCCAAAGGGAGTAAGCCGGCCGAGATTCTGGGCCAAAAAGGCCATGGCCAGCCGCTGACTTGGGTAATAGGTCATGATATCTCACAAGAATGTGATCGCTCAGATCATGCAGATGAGATCTCTCGGCCGCAAGGATCTGCCCAGGGTTTTGCTAGGAGTTCTGCCGCTGTTCCATAGTACGATTGTTTTCCTGAGAGTGCTCGTTATGGTAATGCGACTAACAGCCGTGACAGTTACCGGGCTCGTTCAGATCCTGCAACTGCCAATCGTCATCGACCAAGAAGTCGTTTTGATGCCAAAGTTTGAAATGAAGGCCATGATGGACACGATAGTCAAGTACAAATGCGATGAACTGTGGCTTGTACCGCGTAAGGCGTTGTCTCCCTTCCGCAAACAGTGGGAACTCCAACTGACGTCAATCTTTTCATCTATAGCTCTCCTCATCAGGCTGGTCAACGACCCCGTCGCAGCTGGATATGACTTGCGTCTGGTCAAACAGTTCAACACTGGCGCTGCGCCCCTGGCCCAAGAGATTGTCGACAAACTGGCGAAGCGTTTCCCGCACATCGCAATACGGCAGGCATGGGGCATGACCGAGAGCACAAGTGCTCTGACTTTGACACCACCACCGCTACAAACCTATGAGAATGCTCATACCGTCGGTGCCGTCGTCCCGGAGACGGTGCTGAAGATTGTGGATCCTGAGACTGGAAAGGAAGTCAAAGAGGGCGAGAGCGGAGAGGTAAGCGGAGGATACGGCGGGCCTTTTTTACAGGACATTTTGCGCTGACGGTTGAGCAGATCTGGGGAAAAGGGCCTCAAGTGACGATGGGTTATCTTGACAATCCGACCGCCACGGCAGAGACATATGACGAGGAAGGATTCCTCCACACGGGTGACATTGGCTGCATGCTCCCGAACGGACTGATTCTGGTCCAGGACAGGCTGAAAGAGATGATCAAGGTATGTTCCACCCATTTGAGGCTCGACAAGTTTACTGACAACACGCAGGTCAAAGGCGTGGGTGTCGCTCCCGCCGAACTGGAAGATCTCCTGCTTGGCCACCCGCTGGTCGTGGACGCCGCCGTCATCGGTATCCCCGATCCGTACTCGCAAGAGCTGCCAAAGGCCTTTGTCGTGCTGAGTCCCAAGGCCAAACCTGACGCCCAGACGGCGCGAGAATTGCAGGACTTTGTGCGCCAACGGAAGAGCAGGAGCAAGTGGCTCGGTGGTGGTGTGGAGTTTGTCGACCAGATCCCCAAGAGTGCTTCGGGCAAGATCCTGCGGCGAATGCTGCGCGATCGTGAAAGGGCTCGTTTGGAGGCATCCAAGACCAAAAGCCGGCTGTAGCCATATATACATATATGTATATAATCCCCGAACAGTCGTCCTGCGCGCCTCGTTGCCTGGCTAATCTCCCGCCGCTTTGCTCTCCCGCTTCTACCGTACTTCCTCACGTGCCAGTGAGGCTCTCGTTCGGGCTCCAGTCTTATAATAGGCGTGAACGTTGCGTACGTCTAGCCCGATTAAAACTTTACTCGATCACATCTATGATGGCCCGTTTCGACCCTGATGAAAGGTGGGGTCTCTGAGAGGAGAGGATGGCCTACCATGTTGCTGGACGAGGTCGACTGAATCCCCCAATTCTATAGGACAATGCTTCTTTTCCTCTTCTCCTTTTACGATCCTCTCTTCCTTTCCCTCTTAGACACCGCCTACCTAGTGAGATTGACGACACCTGAGAGAGTCCATGAATCTTGCTGCTCGCAGCAGCATATGAGACTGCTGTGAAAGCCCTTGTATAAAAAGATAAAAGACTTCGGCCATGACCATCTAGATGGAAGATTGGAGGGAGCACATTCTTCTCTAGCCTTCTTGACTCGCAGTGACGACTATACATATTGTGTGAATAACCTCGGCAGCCATAAACGTGTGGGTAACGGGATAAGAGAGATCTCCGGCTATTCCATAAGTCCACAGCCCTGTGTGCTTGGCGAAATACGTCAGGTGTAGTGGGCCTTTTGAAGGCCTTTTGATGAAATTCTGAACATCCCGAATATGAATATCAGCCAAAGCACGGTGTGAGAGAGTCTGTTACTTCCCTTAGTGAATTGGTCACTTTCTTGGCCAATTCATGCTGTGCTGAAGAGCTGTGATATTATCAAGAAGAAGTAGAGATTAGAGGTGTTTGATTTTGACGTGTGAGTGTTAACAGCCCGTACTTGTATATATTTTACGACGCAGCAGCGTTGTTCATGACTTTGATACTAGCTAGATGCATGTGTAGCAGTTTTTAATGACGCCCTAAGTATTCAGCCGTTTGTGAGCGCCTCATGGCAATGTCGCCCTCATCTGTTTGTGGCTTACCGGCTATTCTATTGCCGAGGTCTGAGCTGAGGTGGCCGAATTGGAAGTATTGAGACATATACTCAGGAGCGAATGAATGTATCTTCATACGCATCTTGACACTCGCTTGATTTTCCGTCAGACTCACACGAGTGACAAGATAAGACTGATTGAACACACAATCACAACCACGATCACCGCCACCACCACCACGACCGCAACTGCGACCACACTCACAATGACGGGCCACGCTGACCGTGGCATCAGGCTCTTTCACTATGAGGCTTCCCCGTACGCTCAAAAGATTGTGTTGTACCTAGCTCTGCGTCAGCTGCCCTATGCAGAAGTCAAACAGCCCATGATCATGCCCCGACCGGACTTGGCTGCAATTGGGGTCGCGTATCGACGAATCCCTGTCATGGCAATCGGAAGAGATGTCTATTGTGACACGCGAATCATACTGCGTAAGCTCGAAGAGCTTTTCCCCGAGGGCAAGCTAGGCACATCAACACCCGAAACAATCGCTATTCAGAAGCTATTGGAGATCTGGCATGTAGAGGGACCACTCTTCTCTCATGGCGTGGGGTCCATGCCATCATCACATTTCAGCCATCCAAAATTTGTAAAAGACCGTGAACAACTGCTGGGAAAACCATTTGATTTACAAGGACGCGAGTCAAGGCGGCCCGAGTCGCACGCATATATCCAGGGCGCTTTCGAATTATTCGAAGATCTGCTCGCCGACGGTCGACAGTGGCTTGTCGGCACGCAACGGCCATCTTTGACAGATCTTGAGGGTAAGTACCTACTGGGACCAGGTGCCCTTGCTTTTCCTGGGCGAGCAACACTAACTAATTGATTGTTATGAACAGCCGCTTTCATGGTGTCTTGGCTCCTCAACTCCAAGAAAGCTCTTCCGGAGAATTTGTTCTCTCCAGCCAGATACCCTAAGACACGAGCATGGATTTCCCGCTTCGATAATGCCGTAACGGTATCCAAAGCCCAGGGACCCAAACCGATCAAGCTGGATGGCGCGACTTCTACCAAGGAAATCCTGGCCTCTGACTATGCTGAGCCAGCTCCTGGGATACAGGAGTCGGAACCATTGAAGTGGTTGAGCGTGGGAGACCAAGTCGAAGTCTTTCCCACCGATAATGGGATGTTCAACAAGGACAAAGGGAGACTTGTAGGGTTGACCTATAATGAGATTGTGATTGAGTTGGACAACCATGTTAGGGTGCATTACCCAAGAGCTGGATATCGAGTTCGGACAGTAGGCTCAAATATGTGAAAAGAACTTGGTGAAATGTTATTCAAGTACCGGAGGCTAACACGTGGATATCCGAGTGACGTTTGTGATTGATTGGGAGATTTAGTAGCCGGTATGCTCAATACTGGGAGTTCGTCAAGGCCCTCGATTCGATACATGTCTTCGTCACGTTGAAGAAGACTGCCCAATGCCGACGGTTGCAAGAAATTGGGTAATATCGTCTAGCTGTTCAGGCTCTTTATACCAATGTCTTTCCTGCTCAGTCTCAAAATACTCCTTTCACGTCACGTCGAACCCGATACCAATGGAGTCAGACTTTCAAACTCGTTTCTCTGGCCTTCACGAAGGCGGTTGATCTGCCGAGCCCAGGCCGCAAATGGTCCATTTATAGGTAGTGCCATTCTGGTTTTCCCGACTTTATCCAGCGGGACACAAAAGCCTTGCTTCACGAAGTCGGGCTTATCTAATATATTCATAGCGAAATTGATTATATCGTCATTTAACCGTTCTCCGTACCGAAGTCTATCGAATGTGGTATAGGTATGAAGGCTCCCAAGAGACCATCGATAGATATAATAAATATAGACTACGGTATAACTGATAGATGGCAGCTACAGGAGGTGTTGCACACAGATTATCCACAGTGTTAGAAGAGTCTCACTCGGAGCCGGCCCCCAGCCTGCGATAAGTAGGGATAGGGCATGCGTTCCTGGCACTCCCCAGGATGGCGTAGCCAATCCTAGGGAAGGCTTTGGCAGGCCGTGACACAAGGGCGAAGGCAGTTTCGGGAAACATTGTACCTCCAAAATCCCTAAGCGGCTTTTAAAAAGTCTACGGTCAGCGCTTTGGCAACCCAAAATTGACTCCTGGATGCCAAAAGGACCTCAAGCGCCCGAAATCGACCCTGAGAGCCAACACACAGGCGGAGGGAACGAAGTTTCCAGGCAGTAGGCTTGGTTAAAAACGAATGAAAGGGGACAGCTGGGGCAATTGTAGCCGAGTGCCCAAAAGGGACGCCTGAGCCCGAACTGGCTTCTGGGGTCAGCATCAGGGCAGCGCTCCCTGTAGCGTGCTCCCCAGGGCTCCCCCGTGCTCTGCCGTGGCTCCCTTCACGTGCGCGATTAAGGCGGCCCCACTCCGTTTCCTGAATGAAAGTGATAATGGATGAAGTGCAGCTCGGGGTATGTATTAACATGTATATATCTGCTGTCAATGGGCTCAGGTCGAGATATCGAGCTTGTGATGTGATGTCGACTTTGTAAAGGCTTCTAGGCGGAATAAACTGTTAAGATCGGATTGAAGCATATTTATACCAGAAGCCTTAATTTTCCTGCTCAGTAGACATAACTTCATATGTATATGGAATTGGGGTATGCATGGGTAACATGCTTACTTGTATCTGTAATAAGCTAGTCCAATTAAAATGCGGCTGTGTCTCTACCAGGGGATGAATCGCGGGGTCCGTATGAATAAAGGCAATCACCCCCATATCCCCCACAAGTACAACAGACCCCAAATCAGCAATTGCCGAGGACGGTGAGATGAGCTGTTGGAGTTGCATCCCTCACGGCCCCGTCTGTGCAGTAGAAATCATGGGTGACCGCCTTTTGTTTCGGTCGCTGCCAGCACCATGATCATATACGAGACGAGACATTCTAAACCCAGGTAAACAGGTCGCCAGACCGCAGTTGGATCGAACAACGAACAAATCATTTGGAACAATCCAATCAGTCGACTCCCCACCGCCCGTCATGAAGAAACTCCTCCTAATGCTATTGAAACACCCCCTCCGCGGCCTGATCTTCTCATACTCGTTTCTCGTACAGATCCTGCTCTTACTGCTCCGACGGGCCTTACTCCCCCACTTCCCCGTCTATCAATCGCTCCGGATCCAGGTCCAGCGGGCGTACATGGGCTCGGCGTCGCTGACCTTTCCGGACCTGACGCACAGACTGCCCGTGGGCAAGATGCCCGTTCGCCGGGCTCGCAAGATCGAAGGAGGCTCCGTGCCGGCGTATCTGATCCCCGGGTCAAGGGACCTGGCGGAATTCGCGGCGCCAATGAAGTCGGGACGAGGACAGCGATGTGTTGTGATTTACGCGCACGGCGGGGGCTACGCACGCGGCGAGGCGAGGATGTACATCAACTACATGGAGCGGTGGATCCGGGAGGCGTCCAGGGCGGAGCTGGACCTTGTCTTTGTGAGCGTTGAATACCGTACGTGAGACCCCTTTCCCCCATTCCCGATCTTGTTCTTGGGCAGTCGAGCTCAAAAATGATGCACGAAAAAGCTAACCCCCTGACACAGCATTGTCCGTCAAGGAGAGCCATCCGGCTCAGAAGAAGGCGTTCCTTGAGGTGTACAGATACGTCCTCGACCAGGGCATCCAGCCAGAGCGAATCATCTTCATGGGTGACTCGGCTGGAGGTGAGATCTCACTCCTCAGGGACACGAACCTGTGATATGAAGCTTTACTATACTGATCAAATGGTGCAGGTTCACTCTGCCTCCTCGCACAACTGGACCTCCGAGGCGTCGGCCTCCCACAACCCGCCGCGACGATCCTGATATCCCCGTGGCTCGACATGAACTGCAAAGTGTACCAGGGAGGAAACGGCGCCGTCGAGACCGACTACTTCATGATCGCCAACCAAGCCGTGCCGGCCCTTGCGAAGCTCTTCGTCGGCGCCTTCCCCGCCGACTCGCCCGAGGTCAACCCTCTCCACCACGCGCCCGAGGCGCTCGACGGCCTGAGCCCGCAGCTGATCTTCACTGGCGGGGCGGAATTTGCGCGCTACGACTCGGAGAAGTGGGCGGAGCTGTGTCGCGCCGCGGGCGTAGAGTCTAAACTGGTCATCGAATGGGCACAACTGCACATCTACGCGGTCGGGTCAAAGTTCACGGATCCGGCAGTGCGGAAGAAGACGGACGGTATCATTATCCAGTGGATCAAGGAGCATGTTCGGGAGTGAAGAGAGGTGGCCGATTAGAACTACCTCTAAGCAGGTGTCATTGGGAACTCTGGGCAGGAATTCGGCTTTTTTGGGGGGGGGGGGATCTAGCGGTTATGGACACATTATAGAGGAGACCTGGTTGTCCCAACTCGCCGGACGGTATAGATAATTACAAAGACATAGTGTCCATCTCTGAAGGATCATGAACATGCTACCGGGATAGGTCAGCTACGCAGGTTCACGCACACAGTCCGCAAGAGATGAATTCTGAGATCCGTCTATCCATGTTGTAACGCCTGGGGTCCAGTGGGCTTTCAACAGAATCTGGCGTGTCTGAATGCGCAGAAGTCGGCACTGATACACGCACCCCTCGCCCGCGCAAAAATGAGCTCGTTCTCTTGTTATATCTTTGATTTCGCCTCTACAAAGTTGATGCTGGCCTTGTTGTGCTCCGCCACCGAGAGTAACTGGCCCGTCCGCTTGTCTCTCATCTCACCACGAATCGTCGACAAACGTGTCCCTTGCTGCAAGACCTGACACTCGATGACCAGATCCATGTTCTGCCTCACAGGTCGAAGATACGTGATCAACAGCGTCCGAGACACCCCTCCAAACCACCAAAAGTCCCTCCTGGCCAGCGGCGCGGCCGCCATGGTGGTGCACATGTCGTGGATCATGGCCACGGCTCCGCCATGCATGTTGCCCATGCGGTTCGTGAAGAGCGGCGCCGCCTTCATCTCGAACACGGCTGTTGTCTTTTCCGGTGTAGTAGACGCGCTCACCACGGTGATGTGGTCGCGCATGAAAGTCAGATCAAACGTCTAGAGTCGACGACAAAGTCAGAAGTCAAAACACAGGACCAGGTCTCGAACAACGGTACCTGCACATGCGCCATCTCTGGATTTCGATATGCTTGAATATAGGCTTCTATCCTTTTCTTAGGATCCGGTTCTGTTATTTCAAATGCCATCCCGGGTATTTTCAGTAAATCTGTCGAGTAGCGCTCGGCCTTTGGAGCCTCGGAGTTTGTCATCTTTCTGACGTTTTTCTTTGTAGGAGCCCGAGTTTTTGGAAGTTGGAAATTCACAATACCAGGTTTGGAAGTGGTCTAGGACGTTCTGAAAGGTGCTGGAGCAAACAAAATTTTCATAATTTCTAGCAGTACCGGCTACAGGAGCGAGTGGTTACTGACCCCTCGACCATTCTCAAGTATCGAGACACATCTCAGAGCTCGGCAAAAAGACGTAAATAGTTCGGCTAAACAATCGGCGCCGAGACCGAGACCGCCTCCCAAACTGCTCAATTGAGACCGATCATAAACATGATGATTCTAAAGTCTGACAACAAGTAAGCTTGGTCCTTCTGCCGTCAGCATGACCATCATACAGATGCTTATTGCCCTGGAGCTCGATAGATCTAATTAGATGGAATATACTAGAGCATTGTCGCGCTAGGTAGGATAGGGGCACCCAAGCGGCATTTCCGCTGAGAAAAGTGGCCACTTGATACGGGCCTTGCGGTGTCTCGGTCCACAGTTGGAGCTGGTACAATGGCCACGGATGGCTCATCCAGATGAAGCACAACTATAGAGGCTTAAAGCATACGACGAATACCGAGTACGAGGTACAGAATATATGTTCGGCAGGGCAACTGTCGGGGTTTCCCGTGCTCTCATTGGGTGAGCAAGGGGAGTCATATACAGGGACTGACAAGCCACAGGGCGGCACCAGCCTAAAGCCTGAAACAGACTAGACGAAATAATTATTTTTTGTCGCCTTGGCATCTGCGGAGAAATCAAAGTGCAATACTCACATTGACGACGAGACACAGTCAATGTTGTAAACGGCCCTGCACTATCGAACTTAGATTGATCCTGATTCTGCCATAGTACGCCATGCCTCCGACTTCGACCTCCCTCGAGGCACCCTCCCAACCGACGCAGCCCTCGCGCAAGGGCAAAAAGGCATGGCGCAAAAACGTCGACATAACCACTGTCACAAAGGGCCTAGAGAGTCTCCGCGACGAAATCATCCAGCATGGAAAGCCCCTGGCGGAGAAGGACGCGGCCGAACTCTTCACGCTGGACACGACGGGGTCGAGGGAGGAAGTGCTGCGCCAGGCCAAGGCGGTCAAGAGTGGTCACAAGAGCCGGGTTTTGAAAATGGACGAGATCCTGGGGCGGAGGAGTGCGGTGCCCGCGCTGGAAAATTCCAAGAGGAACAAAAGGGGGCTCAGCGTCGCTGCGGTGACAGACGGCGTGGTCGAGCCGTCGAGCAAAAGACAAAAGAAGGACTGGGTGAGCAAGAAGGAAGTGGCCCGGCTGCGGACCACTCTGGACAAGACGTCGCATCTGGACGTCGAGAACATCGACAACGCCACCTCGTCATTTGATCTCTGGGCCGACCACGACATGTCCTCCGACGCCGTCAAATTAGGCAATGATTCTAAAACTAGGGCGTCCCTCACCGCGACGGCAGAAAACGAATATATCCCCAAACCCCGCGCCAAAGTCGCTCCGCCGACCATCCACCATCCGCCCATTGCCCTGACATCTACGGGCCAGCCTGTCCGGGCTGTGGCGCCACCCGATGCGGGACAGAGCTACAACCCATCCTTCGAGGACTGGGACTCGCTGCTGACGCGCGAGGGCGAGAAAGAAGTCCAAGCCGAGCAGCGCCGTCTCCGAGAGGCTCAGCTGGCGGCGGAAAAGCAGGCACGAATCGACGAACTGGCCCGGCAGCCGGATCCGCGGCCCGAGGACAACCCGGAGAGCGAATGGGAAGGGTTCGAGACGGAGGATGAGAGCAACAACCCCCTGGAGCTGTTGAAGCGAAAACGGCCGGAGCGCAAGACGCCCGCTCAACGGAACAAGATCAAGCGGCGCAAGGAGGCCGAGCGGCTCGCCAAACACCAGGCGCGAATGGCAGAGCGGCAGAGACGGGGCGAAGAGATCGTGCAGGCCCTGCTCGAGCAGCAAAAACAGGAACAAGAGCGTGGCGATGACGGTGGCCACGCCGAGAAATCATCCACCGCAGCTCCAGCAGGTGCAGCGGCCGAGGTCCTTCTACGGCGCAAAGCCACGCTGGGACCGTCGAGAGCATCGATTCCACCCGCGCCCCTCGAACTAGTCCTGCCGGACGAGCTGCAGGATTCCCTTCGCCGACTGAGACCCGAGGGAAACCTGCTGTCGGAGCGGTTCCGTAACATCCTGGTCAACGGCAAGCTCGAGGCGCGGAAACCCGTGTCCTACGCCGCGAGCCGGAAGAGGAGAGTCAAGGTCACCGAGAAATGGTGGTCCAAGGATTTCGCCCTACGTGTCTAGAAAGTGACCCTTGGTTCAGGTCAAAGTTGCGCGGCTTACCTGGGCGCTAGCTTAGTCTACACAACTCTCCATCTATCCATCTACATGAAATAGACAACGTTGATCGAACAAATCTTGTTTTGTGGCTCAATGAAACATGTTGTGATTCAAACACGAGGCTGGAAATACCGTCATTACTGCAATTTTCTTATTATGAGTAACTGCTGTTCCGCTATGTTCGCCATTAGGGGTATCTTCCACATCCCGGGTCCTTGAAAGACGCCCGCTTCCCAGTTTAGCAGCCAAATTTCCCATGTCATACCGGGCATGTGATTATATGTGTCAAGTCAGAAGATATAGCCCATTCGTTTCTGGGCTAGACTCCAAAAGATCCAGGCTGAAGCACAAGTCATTCCTGGCTCCAAGCCGAACGAACACTGACCGCAAAATCACCGTGTCGGTGTTCGCTCAATAATAAATCTTCTCTTCGAATATCGGTGGCTGTCCGCCAGTCTCTTCCTCATTCCAAATGATTCTCCCGGTCTTTTCGTCGAAACTGGCCCCTTCATCTGTCATTGGTGTGACCTTATTTGTGTGAAGGCACTCCTGCCTCGACACTCCCATGGGATCACGTGGCACCCACAGCAGAGGTGCAACTGCATTGCAGGCAGGATCCTGGTATGCATCTCGCTCAATTTCCGGGGAATATCTGATCTCGGCGAACTCCTGAGGAACAAGCTTGCGCAGAATCGCGTAACTGGCGTAGATGTCGGGGCGGAAGAATCGTTTGATCATAGATGTGTGTTTATTGCCTCCCGGGGGCATTGTTTCTTTCGCTACTCGCAGCTCGTCCAACTGATGTTTTTCATGCATACTTGGACGCGACGGGCCGCCATCCGGTCCAGTCATTAAAGCTGATTCACTGTGCAGGAGGGCGGCCTCCTCGGCTTCAAGTGAACGTGGGAGATAATACAGAAGCGGACGGACGGCTGCATTCATGGACATGTGGTAAAGCACCATGAAGATCAAGAATACGACCATCAGTACCAGAGGTGCAGGGGCCGCCCGAATACCAAAGAGGCCGATCAGACAGATGACCGCCAAGTAACATCCGACCAAGGTATGCTGCAGAGCTTTAGCGTAGACAAGGCCTTTGGTGTCGATGACTGAGCTGTCCACAAAAAGGAGACTGTAGCGGTACGCAAAATAGAAGAGACCCTGGCCAATGGCCGCGAATCCAAGCATGAGAGGTGCAATTGGGGCGTATGCTATTGATATCACGGTCATCAATCTATTCCCAGTTAGTCAGGGGGTGGCATTATATGTTCAAGAGATGCCTTACTCAACAACGGGGAAAACACTGCCCCAGCCGACAGATGAAAGGCTTGACCAGCGATTGTACATCTTTCGGGGGGTTTTGTCGAGGATCTTTGACAGGGTGTTGTATAGCACCAGTCCTACGATATTGAGGAGTTGACCCGAAGAGAACACCAGACCTTGAAGGATGAAGTATGAGATGTAGAAGTTGGAGGCCAACGGGAGGTTCTGAGCCAATAAGGTAGTAATCGATCCTGGCTGTTTGATGATTTGGGGTACTGCTGCACTTGCTGCGCTGGTCATTGTGGTCACCAGGAACACCTGGATTAGCTGGAACCAAAAGTATGATTCGTGGCAACGGAGTTCAATGAGTGACAGCGTGGGCATGCCAGCAACTTTG